GAGAGGGTCGACGGAGCAATGATTTTCAATGCAGTTTGAATGATACTTCCGTGATCCTGAGTGTTGTCTTCCATTGATGATGTGCAAGAAGAGAGTTACCTCTGTTCGTTTCAAAGAGAATTTGACTTCATAGGATTTCGGAAATCACCGAAAAAGCAATCTGATTGGAACCCATGAGAAATTCAATATTTCCTTGAAACGGTCGACGGAGCAATGATTTTCAATGCAGTTTGAATGATACTTCCGTGATCCTGAGTGTTGTCTTCCATTGATGATGTGCAAGAAGAGAGTCACCTCTGTTCGTTTCAAAGAGAATTTGACTTCATAGGATTCCGGAAATCACCGAAAAAGCAATCTGATTGGAACCTATGAGAAATTCAATATTTCCTTGAAACGGTCAACGGAGCAATGATTTTCAATGCAGTTTGAATGATACTTCCGTGATCCTGAGTGTTGTCTTCCATTGATGATGTGCAAGAAGAGAGTCACCTCTGTTCGTTTCAAAGAGAATTTGACTTCATAGGATTCCGGAAATCACCGAAAAAGCAATCTGATTGGAACCTATGAGAAATTCAATATTTCCTTGAAACGGTCGACGGAGCAATGATTTTCAATGCAGTTTGAATGATACTTCCGTGATCCTGAGTGTTGTCTTCCATTGATGATGTGCAAGAAGAGAGTCACCTCTGTTCGTTTCAAAGAGAATTTGACTTCATAGGATTTCGGAAATTACCGAAAAAGCAATCTGATTGGAACCTATGAGAAATTCAATATTTCCTTGAAACGGTCAACGGAGCAATGATTTTCAATGCAGTTTGAATGATACTTCCGTGATCCTGAGTGTTGTCTTCCATTGATGATGTGCAAGAAGAGAGTGACCTCTGTTCGTTTCAAAGAGAATTTGACTTCATAGGATTTCGGAAATCACCGAAAAAGCAATCTGATTGGAACCTATGAGAAATTCAATATTTCCTTGAAACGGTCAACGGAGCAATGATTTTCAATGCAGTTTGAATGATACTTCCGTGATCCTGAGTGTTGTCTTCCATTGATGATGTGCAAGAAGAGAGTTACCTCTGTTCGTTTCAAAGAGAATTTGACTTCATAGGATTTCGGAAATCACCGAAAAAGCAATCTGATTGGAACCTATGAGAAATTCAATATTTCCTCGAAACGGTCAACGGAGCAATGATTTTCAATGCAGTTTGAATGATACTTCCGTGATCCTGAGTGTTGTCTTCCATTGATGATGTGCAAGAAGAGAGTCACCTCTGTTCGTTTCAAAGAGAATTTGACTTCATAGGATTCCGGAAATCACCGAAAAAGCAATCTGATTGGAACCTATGAGAAATTCAATATTTCCTTGAAACGGTCGACGGAGCAATGATTTTCAATGCAGTTTGAATGATACTTCCGTGATCCTGAGTGTTGTCTTCCATTGATGATGTGCAAGAAGAGAGTCACCTCTGTTCGTTTCAAAGAGAATTTGACTTCATAGGATTCCGGAAATTACCGAAAAAGCAATCTGATTGGAACCTATGAGAAATTCAATATTTCCTTGAAACGGTCGACGGAGCAATGATTTTCAATGCAGTTTGAATGATACTTCCGTGATCCTGAGTGTTGTCTTCCATTGATGATGTGCAAGAAGAGAGTCACCTCTGTTCGTTTCAAAGAGAATTTGACTTCA